TAATTTTTTTATTTTTATTAGAGATGGGGTTTCACCACGTTGGCCAGGATGGTCTCGATCTCCTGCCCTAGTGATCCATCCACCTTGGCCTCCCAAAGTCCTGGGATTACAGGCGTGAGCCATCACGCCTGGCTGGTTTGAACCCTTTTAAAGGGCTCACTTCATTAAGTCAGGTCCACCCAAAGTAATCACCACTTTGATTAACTGATTAGAGACTTTAACTACATCAGTAAAATCCCTTATGTCAGGCAAATAGCATAATCACAGGAGTGAAATCCCAACAAATTCATGCGTTCTGCTCAGACTTAAGGGGAAGGGGGATTTTATAGGGCATATACACAAAAGATGGGAATCTTGGAGGCTATCTTAGAATTCTGTCTACCACAGACCCTCACTAAAGTAACTTTTTTTTTGAGAGAGAAAGAGAGGATCTCACTCTGTTACCTAGGCTGAAGTGCAATGGTGTGATCACAGCTCACTCACCGCTCACTTGACCTACTGGGCTCAGGCGGTTCTACCACCCCACTCTCCTAAATAGCTGGGACTACATGCAGGTGCCACCACATCTGGCTAATTTTTTTTATTTTTGTAGAAACAGGTTTTCACCATGTTGCCCAGGCTAGTCTCAAACTTCTGTGCTCAAGCAACCCACCCACTTCGGCCTCCCAAAGTGGTCGGATAACAGGCATGAGCCACTAAGCCTGGCCTAAAGTAACTTCATTTTTTTTTTTTTTTAAAGATGGGGTTTCACCCTGATGGCCAGTCTGGTTTTGAACTCCTGACCTCAGGTGATCCACCCACCTTGGCCTCCCAAAGTGCTAGGATTATAGACGTGAGCCACCACGCCCGGCCGTAACTTCTAAAGGTGTGCTTCAGGTAGAAGGAAAATAATCCAAGATGGAAGATCTGATATACAGGAAAGAAGAGCAGGCAATACTAAATATTGATATTAAACATATGAGCAAATCTGTACAAGTATCACCTATTTAAAATAATATCAGATTTGTGAGATTAACAAAATAGTATAATTTAAATATTGGGTTACAAAAAATATTTAAATTCAAAGAGAATTATTCATGTTAGGGAACTCTAAAATCTATGAATTGTTTTAAAGAAGAATGACGATATTGGTTAAAGACATTAAGCTAAATATGTAGATTAAAAATTCTAGGCCTGGCAGAGTGGGTTACGCCTATAATCCTACCTACTACTCAGGAGGCTGAGGCAGAAGAATCGCTTGAACCCAGGGGGCGGAGGTTGCAGTGAGCCGAGATCACGCTACTGCACTCCAGCCTGGGTGACAAGAGAGAAACTCTGTCTCAAAAAGAAAAAAAGTCTGGATTATATAAAGTATAAAAAATAGTTGTTGTCACATGAGTTTTTTTTGTTTTGTTTTTTTTTTTTGAGACGGAGTTTCACTCTTGTTACCCAGGCTGGAGTGCAATGGCGCAATCTCGGCTCACCGCAACCTCTGCCTCCTGGGTTCAGGCAATTCTCCTGCCTCAGCCTCCTGAGTAGCTGGGATTACAGGCACGCGCCACCATGCCCAGCTAATTTTTTGTAATTTTAGTAGAGACGGGGTTTCACCATGTTGACCAGGATGGTCTTGATCTCTTGACCTCATGATCCACCTGCCTCGGCCTCCCAAAGTGCTGGAATTACAGGCGTGAGCCACCACGCCCGGCCCACATATGAGTTTACAGTATTGTTTTTAAAATGCTAAAACTATTTTGAGCCTTACACTGAAATTAAGAATCATTCAGTGGGAAGTCAGCCTGCTGCATGAGCTGCTCCCAACACCTGCTCCTTGTCCCCTCAGAAAAAAACACTTAATACAAAATAAAATTTTAAAATTACAAATTATAAATGAAAAACTGAGCAGGTGGTATTTGGCCAAAATTTGCTGAAAAGAAAATTATTCTTAAAGAAGACAATGGACCTTAAATTTGCAGACAGTGACACAGAGACTGAAAGGGCTGTCTGCTCAGTTGGAGAGACACAGAGCAACATCAGTGCAGTCACAGAGATGTGTGCAAAGGGGCTAATGAAGCCCCATAAATAGGGGTGGCTAGGGGAAGTGAAGGTTGGGAAAAGATCCACAGCAGAGGTAATATCTGTGCTGCCTCTTGGCAACTGAACTATAAAGTTAGTCAGGCCAACACGATCAGAAGGATATTCCAGGTAGAAGAAACCATATGTGCAAAAACACAGCCAGAGGGTGAAAAAAAAACAGACTGTGGTCCAAGAGCTGTGGATTGTCTGGCTGGAGGCTAGGCTGTGAGTTAAGGAAGGGCAAAAGGCAAGGCTCTCAGTGAGGAGAGGGCCTTCTAAGTGTAGAGGAGGGGCTTAGAATTCATCCTACAAAGGAGAGGGTACCTTCAAAGGATTTTAAGCAAGAAAGCAAGAAAGTGTCTTATCACCATGATGAAAAGTGATTACTAGATGTGGCAGTGGGGAGAATAGATTAGAGGAGACAGGAAGGAAGTTTAAGAAACTGTCACTAATCAAGATCCAGATATATCATGACATGTTACAATTTGTAGGAAGGGACAAAACAATTGTACTTGCAGGTGCATAGAGTTTTGCCTTTGTTCACTTTCCAGTTGGGACTAATTTAGTTGACAATGAAAGGATACGTGAGACCCTGGCAACAGTAGTTGCCTCTCAGGAGAGGAATGAGTGGCTAATGTACAAGAAGAGAAAAATACTTAAAAAAGACCCTCTGTATCCTTTTGTACGCTTTTAATTTTGTACTTTGGATATGTATTACCAGACCAAAAAAAATTGCTTTTCTTTTAAAGAGACTATCACATTGTAAGGAGATGAGTAATTTTTTTGAAAACAAACAAAAATAATAAAGGGGCTATTATACAATCTAGGAGAAAACATCAGGGAGAATGTGCCTGCCACCCTCTCTCTGAACCTTCCCCTGGAGGAGCCCAAACTTTATCAGAAAGAGCCTCTTCAGAGGACTTAGGCCCAAGGCAGTAATGTATCAACTCTTTCACCTGTATGGCCTATATCTCTGGCAGACCCTGAGAACAGAAACTCTGAATCTTCTTGCATTCTCTGTTTCTAGTGCCTAGTGTCCCCTCAAGAAGCCTTCATTACAATGACTAACTCTACTGGTCTGGCTAGAACTAGAGGATGAGAGAAGGAGGTCTGGGATCTCATATCCCCTTGCTGATTATATTCTGGGCTGAACGATTCTTCTGCCAGCCTTCTAATCCTGACTTGTGCCAGCTGGGCTTCCCTAATGTGTGACACAAAAGTGTGTTGGGTCACCACTCAGCAAGAAGCTGGGTGCCAAGAAGCAGGAGGTGGTCCTGGGAGACAGTCACTAGAATGCCAGGGGTACAGGGAAGAGGGGCAGCACAGAAGATGCCCATCCTTCCTTACCTTGGAGTAGATTTGTGAGCAGAAAAAGCCCAACATAGTTAGTGGCAAAGGTGAGATCCAGCCCCTCTGGGCTAAGTGTCTTGGGGAATGCTGGGAGGAGATGAAAACACTGTCACTGAGTGATAAAGAGACCACCTTGAGGAAGACATGGACTGGGAGGGACATATTACCTTCAGTAGAAATGCCACAGGCTCATGTACATGCAAAGATGGGGCAATGAAGTTTAAAGCTATAACTCAATGTCATTTTTTTAGAGGAGGGAATGGATTACAGTGTTTTGGCAAGATTGCATAGGTTAGGCTTTGAGGATACCTGTTTTGGGGTCCCTGAGCTAGAAAGAAGGCTGCAGAAACATGTTTGGAGAAGCAAGCCAAGGCACATACCACCAACACCAGCATTGTTTACCAGCGGATATATCTCAGGATTCTCCTGTAGAAGCTTCTGGGCAAAGCTCCGAATAGAGGTCATGCAGCTGAGGTCCATCTGGCCAATCAGGAGATGGTTGCTATTTGAAGTTGCCTGGATCTCGACCAGGGCTTGCTGTCCGTGTTCCCTGCTCCAGCAGGCAAGGATCACTTGGGCCCCACACTGAGCCAGTTCTTGGGATACAACCTTCCTGATGCCTGTGGGAGGGCAGGTTTGAGTGGGCTAATCTGAGTGGTGACTACAGTGGACAACGGACACTCTAGGGGAGGGACAAGGGTGTTGACAGTGGATGCTCCTACCTGCTCTCCCTGTGGGTATTGCTGGGGGCTGAGGCCCATTGTGAGGACACAGGGTGGGAGGAGCACTCACCACTGTTGGCCTCAATCACTATGGCTGTTTTCCCAGTCATATCTGTGGAGCAGTGCTGGAGGTCCCAGGGATGAGACTTCTGCCAGAGCTGCACACATAGTTGAAGCCAGGAGGACCACAATAAGGAGGACAGAGCCAGGGCCCCAGACCAGGGTGCTGAGCGTAGCCCACAGCAACATACCAGAAACTTCCTGGGCCTGCTGGGGAAATGCTATAGGAGAAAGTTGGGGCAGGATAAATCTGGGCAGAGTGGAGCCTAGGATAAAATTTAAGGAGGCACTGACTTCTGAGTTTTTTCAGTATACTGTTTGAATTTGAGAGTTCCTCCTTAACTCCAAAAGTGAAATTTGGATTTGCAGTCTAGGGTGAAGTGACCAAGCTCCAGGGACCAGGGAAGCAAGAAATCAAATTCCTCACATCTGGAATCACTCTGTGCTTATGCAGAGCCATCTTCTTCCTCCCCTACTGAAAGGAGGCCTGAAGTTCTCTCTACAGAGCCAGACCCGCTGGCAACCCTTATGTCTACTCCTTTGGGGAACAGGGGTCTCTCTAGAATGCCTCTGTGACAGCGCAGCTTTGGTGCTAAAGCAGGGTCTCCTAAGGGTGGCAAGGGGGCTATTTCCTGAACCCTGGTGCTATCTTCTTTTAGGTCTGCAGGATAACTGCTCCCCCTGGAGTTCAGTGAGAGAGTGGACACCCTTGGAAGAAACTGACAAGAGACATCAGACCGCTTCCTAAGGCAACTCAGGTGTTTATTTCTGGCAAGCAGAGGGAGGAGCCCATTACCACTGCCAGAGGCTCAGGGCTCAGAGTGAGGCAGAGGGCTTAGTAGGGCATGACCACACTTTGGGGACTGAGTTCTCCAATAGCTGTGCCACGGTCACCTGGGGCTTTGGGGGACCTGTCTGGATGGGTTGTTGCTCAACGGGAGGAAAGGTATCACTTTCTTTGTCCTCCTGTTCAGGCACACCAGAGCTGAGGAGCACCTGGGTGCTCCGGTTCCACATGCTCACGCCAGGGGCCAGCTTCATGGCTTCTGGCAGCAACGGAGGCTTCCACATCACCTGGGAAGTGGCTTCAAGGACCTGGGGTGTGGTTTGAGGCCATCTGCCAGAGTCCTGGCCCTCCCTGTCTTCCAGCTTCAGACCCTGTGGAGGCACGCAGGTTCGGCCAGCCCACAGTTCGCCCAGCAGCTCGGCCCCCTGCTCCCAACCGCTGGGCCACCTGGCACTGGGCCACAGCTTGGGGCTGGGGCTGCAGACCACATCAGGGAATACCGGGTGTGTGGTGAGGAGGCGGATCCCAGAGCCGGGGAGTGGTAGCTTTGACCGGAAGCATGGCGACGATAGGCCTAAGTTTAAAGTGGGGAACTGGAGTGTGGGGCCGGAGTCCGAGGCACAGAAAGGAATGCCTGGCTGGAGAGGGAAGAACGTTGCCGGGGAGACGCGGGTGCCGGGGCTGGGGGTTTGGGGTTCGGCCCGGGCCTTGGTTTTCTTGCCCCGCTGGTGCCCGTGGTAAGTTTCCAACGGGCGTTTCTGAGAGTCTGAGACCAGGACCTCGGCCAGGGGGCGCACCCAGTGGCGAGGGAGCCGCGCAGGGTCTAGGCGCTTCAAGGCTGCCTTGCAGGGCATCCCGTGGTGCTCAGCACTCAGCTGCACATCCGAGGGCCCGGCCTGCTGCTGTTGGAAGGATGCAGCGGGGCGCGTGGTGCCGCCCACAGAGGGGCAGGACACCCACAAGCCCGAGGCGAGGCGGAGTACCCCCTCTGACTTGTGCTCCAGCTGATCCCCAGCTGCGTCCAGCTGGGGCATGCAACAGTAGAGGTCCTCCAATGACAAATGGGAGCCAAGGGGCTGTGCCATCTCGGTTGAGGCCTGGGGGCTGGCTACCACGGACGGCTCCAAAGACGGGTTGGCATCGTCGGCAGGCGCCTTCTCCACCAACAGTTGGAAGCTCACACTCGAGGACCCAGCCGAGGAGAGGCGGCCTCTGGACTGGCAGTCCGCTTCCTCTACAGGACCTCCGGGCCCTGCCCCCTGAAACAGCTCCGATGTGGGAGAAGGGGCCGAGGTGACTCTCATCTCTGGAGAAGGCTCCCAAGACTCCATCTGCTCCTGGGAGCCTCGACCTATCCACGACCTTCCTAAGGGGATCTGGTCCACGCCCCCAGGGTCCTGGGAAAATGCGCTCGGGCAGTGAGATGTCGGAAAGGGTAGAGCAGGAGTAAGGGCAGAGGAGTACGAGGAGGCTCCTGAGGAGTGTACTTCACCTGGGAAGTTTTCCAGGCCCTCTGAGGTGGGCGCGTGCAGCACGGGCACTGAGCCCTGAGCCCAGGAGTCCGTCGTGCATGCCGAAGGCTCCTCATCCTCACCCCATGTGGGGTCCTCAGCCACTGCAGATTCTCCCTCGTCCCGGGCCAGGAAGCGCCACTCCGTGATCTGCAGCATGGCCTCCCGCGCCTGGCTGATGGTGAATGGAATGCACTGTGGAGGCGAGAGAGGGTCTCAGGTAGGCAGGGAGGGACGGGAGAGGTAGCAGATGAGTCTGAAGGACCCGGTTCCCGGCCCACCTGCTGAGTCAGGTAGACTTTGAAAGCAGAGTCCATGACTCGAGCCAGCAAGTCGGCCAAGATGTCCCCTACCACATCCTCGCCCTCCTCCAGGGCTGTAAGCGCCATCCACTCGGCCTCACTGAGCCGCCCAGGCACGATATCCACCTGCGGCACTGGCACGGTGGGCGGTCGCACTTTTTCCGCCTTGGACCGGGTCACCCCGCGGTCTCGGACCTGCCTCTCCTGCCTCTGTGAGAACAAAACAGGGTAGTCAGAGCAGGAAACCAAGAAGTGGAAAGGAAGAGCAGCAATAGGCTAGGGGAAGCTTTCTCAAGTTGTCCAGTAGGAAGGAAAAGGGAAAGGGCCAACTGAGGAAGAGCCCACTATGTGACAGATACTTAGCAGATGTTTGACCTAATTATTATTATTATTATTATTATTTTTTTTTTTTTTTTTTTTTGAGACGGAGTTTCGCTCTTGTTACCCAGGCTGGAGTGCAATGGCGCGATCTCGGCTCACCGCAACCTCCGCCTCCTGGGTTCAGGCAATTCTCCTGCCTCAGCCTCCTGAGTAGCTGGGATTACAGGCACGCGCCACCATGCCCAGCTAATTTTTGGTACTTTTAGTAGAGACGGGGTTTCACCTTGTTGACCAGGATGGTCTTGATCTCTTGACCTCGTGATCCACCTGCCTCGGCCTCCCAAAGTGCTGGGATTACAGGCTTGAGCCACCGCGCCCGGCCACGACCTAATTATTAATACTTTTCATGACAGCCCACTAACCACATTTGACAGGTAAACTGAAGTGGGGAGGCTGAGGCAAGATAATTGCTTGAACCCAGGAGGCAGAGGTTGCAGTGAGCCGAGATTACCACTACTGCACTCCAGCCTGGTGACAGAGTGAGACTCTCAAAAGAAAAGAAAAGAAAGAAACTGAAGTCTGACAGAAGTTAACCACCCTTGCTTGGGAGCACACAGTGAGCAAGCCCAGGCAATGTGAAGGTTTAACTTCATGTTCCTTATACCGGTGCAAAGTGTTCAAAATTCTTGAGAGTTCAAAGAACTTGAGAAAGAAACTCAGTCAACAGTCCTGGAATTATTGGTGCTATTTAGAGTCTTCTCTACATTTTGTTTTCTGGAAAAGGATTTTTTAAAAAAAATTCAAGTAACTGCAAATAGGAAACCAGAAGGGAAGCCCCAGGTTGGGGCAGATCATGGCTATCCCTCCCTGACAGACCAGGGAGAGGAGGTGGCCCCTATACCCTTTATGGTCGTTTGGGGGCCCCTTGCTCACTCAGCTGCAGCATCCTACGTGCAGGACCCCAACTGGGGTAGTTGGTCACCCAGCCTGCCATGCCCCACCCCCTCTTCCCCACAAAGAGTATCTCAGGGAGGGGATCATAGGCAGAGCAGGAGGCAATGAGGATGAACATTTGGCGCTGGTAGCAGCAGCAATAACAGATGTCAAAGAATGGAACATTGAACCAAAAACAACACAACTGCCCAGAAGTAGTTTATGAATAGAGGAAAAATGGATGGAATCGGAACTTTTAGGGGGTGGGAAGAGCAGGAGGATTGGGACCAGGCAGGGTGAGCTCCTTGTTATTGGTGCCCCATCTGAGGAGGGGGAAATGGCTGAGTGGTGGAAGCAAAGTAGGGTTGGGGGAGCAGCCCCAGCCCACCTCAGGTGGCTGCCACAGGGCTCATGGGCCCCACCAGGACAATAGGTGACTGAATCTCCATCACTGCAATATGTACTCAGATCCCAGGCAGAGCGCAAGGGGGCTGGAGCCACTGCAAAGAGGGAGGAGGGGACTCACACCCCTCCTGCTTTTCTGTAGCCAATGGGGGCTGTCCAACCTAGTGCAGGGACTAGGGAAGGTAGGGAAAAATGAAAGGTGTGAGCCCCACGTGGTGACAAAGACAGTTTGGGTGAGGGAATCCTGGGGGCCAGCACCCCCTTCCATAGGCCACACCTTCTGCTGCCAGGACAGTGGAGTGAGGCATCCCAGAATGGGGGCTTGGGCCCCTTTTAAGGCCAGGGGAACCCTCCCAGGCCCCTCTATGGGAAGCCAGAGGGAACAGTGGAGGAGCAGAGAGGTGGTCCCCAAACCAAAAGCCCAGAGAACAATGTCCCCACTATCAAGGGAGTGGGGATGCAGCAGGGTCAGGGTGTGGCTAAGTGGGACATTGGCTTTGTCCAGGAGGGCACGTGTGTATGCATGAGTGGGGGGGAAGGGGAAGGAACTGGGTGGGGGGCAATCCTCCCAAGTCAGCGCATGGGGGCCCTGCAGCAGCTGGTGTGCTGTGTGGTGTGGTGGTAAGGGCACAGGTAGAAGATGGGGGTGGCCACCGCCTCTGGTGATGGTGGGCCTGGGGAAGGGATGGGGGTGGTGGGAATTGAGCATAGCTGTCCTGTCCCAAAAGGAAGCTGCTCCTCCAGTGAGGAGCCAACAGCACATATGGTCACTGCTCCTCCTCCACGGACTCCTGTGAGCTGCCCTCCTTTTCCTCCTTCTCCAGTTTTTTGGGTCTGTCCCTTGGTTTCCTTCCTAGAACTGTGGTGATTTTTCAGGTCTTGGTAGCACCCTTGTTTTTGCTTCCCTTTGGTCTGTCCCGAGGTCTCTTAGGTGTTGACACTTGACTAGGCTCCTTCTGACTCCCTACCAGCGCTGTCCTGGGACTCACTGGAGGCTGCTTGTGTGGCCTGCCCTGGGCCCACTTCTCAATGCCGTCCTTTTTCTGCTTGGAGGCCAAGGGCTGGCTGGACTTCGCGTTCAACTTACTCATCTTCTCTACTCTAAGGGGCAGGTGGAAGAGTGATGGCTGGGATGCGCAAGCTCGGCAGCCGGCCTGCGGTATGCACTCCGGGTTGCCTGGAGTGGCGGTGAGGGGCCCTGAGGACTGGCCTGGCTCCAATGTGGCTGTGGCTGGTTGTAAATGCTGGATGCCTTCTCAGAGCCAGAGATAGCCCCGGCTCAGAGTCCCAATTAGAAGAACACAGCCCCGATTCAGGGCAGCATAAAAAGTTTGCTACATTTTTACCAACTATTCTTTTCTCCATTTTATGGCAATTTACCCAGTATCACACAAGTAGAGATAGTGAAGTCAGAATGCATTCACATGCAAGTCTGACTCCAGAGCCTCTCAACCAAAGACATTTACAACAAACATGAAAAAAGATAAATATCCCCGAGTAAATTAAAAGCTCACATAAAAGAAGAAAAATCAGCCAGGCGTGGTGGTTCACGCCTGTAATCCCAGCACTTTGGGAGGCTGGGGCAGGCGGATCATTTGAGGTCAGGAGTTTCGGAGCAGCCTGGCCAACATGGTGAAACCTCAGCTCTACTAATAATACAAATTAGCCAAGCATGGTGGCCGGCGCCTGTAATCCCAGCTACTAGGGAGACTGAGACACAAGAATCACTTGAACCCGGGAGGCAGAGTTTGCAGTGAGCCAAGATCCCACTACTGCATTCTAGCCTGGGCAACACAGTGAGACTCTATCTTTAAAAAAATAATAACATTTAAAAAATGGAAGAAAAATGGCCAGGCACAGTGGCACATACCCACAGTTGCAGCTGCTCAGGAGGCTGAGGCAGGAAGTTCAAGTCCAGCTTGGGCTATTTTACAGTAAAAGTTTAAACTATAAGAAGAAAAACCATTTAAGATCCCAAAGATAAGCAAAGGACATGACATTTCACAAAAGAGGGACTGTAGATGACTAATAAATATAGTATTGAGATTCTGATTTCTAGTTCATCAAATTAGAAATTATTTTAAAAATAAGAATACATTGGCAAAGGTTTAGTGTGACACCATCCTGCAGCAGTATGCATGAAGACATTAAAAAATGTTTTCGCTCCTTCAACCCTGCAATTTCAGTTCTATAAATACAACCAAAAGGCATTTTATGAAATGAAGATAAAAATATGTTCTCCAACAAATTCTTTGTGGTTTTGTTTATAATAGCAGGATATTGAAAACATGTTTTAAAAAGAGAATAAATAATTGACTATGCTATAGTGAAATATTATGTAATGATTAAAGGTAATCTTTTTTTTTTTTTTTTGAGACGGAGTTTCGCTCTTGTTACCCAGGCTGGAGTGCAATGGTGCAATCTCGGCTCACCGCAACCTCTGCCTCCTGGGTTCAGGCAATTCTCTTGCCTCAGCCTCCAGAGTAGCTGGGATTACAGGCACGCGCCACCATGCCCAGCTAATTTTTTTGTATTTTTAGTAGAGACGGGGTTTCACCATGTTAACCAGGATGGTCTCGATCTCTTGACCTCGTGATCCACCTGCCTCGGCCTCCCAAAGTGCTGGGATTACAGGTGTCAGCCACCACGCCCAGCCTGGTAATCTTTTTTTGTTTGTTTGTTTTTGTTTTTGAGACAGAGTCTTGCTCTGTCACCCAGGCTGGAGTGCAGTGACACGATCTTGGCTCACTGCAACCTCTGCCTCCCAGGTTCAAGTGATTCTCCTGCCTCAGCCTCCAGAGTGGCTGAGATTACAGGCACCTGCCACCACACCTGGCTAATTTTTAAAATATTTTTAGTAGAGATGGGGTTTCACCATGTTGGCCAGGCTGGTCTTGAACTCCTGGCCTCAAGTGATCCACCTGCCTTGCAGGTGTGAGCCACTACATCTGGCCATTAAAGGTACTCTTTAGAAAGAATTTGCAATGGCATAAAGAAAATGTTTATGATGTAATGTTAAGTGAAAGAAGCAGGATACAAAATTACATATCAATTATGATCTCATAGATGTAGACCACTTTGTGTTGAACAAAAGAAAAACATCAAAATGATAACAGAGGGTATGTTTCCTTCCTATGTCTTTTTTATTTTGTAAGTTCTCTACAATGAGTTTGTTTCCTTTTATAACTTTAAAAAAAAAAAAAAAAAAAAAAAGACTAGTCCCCAAAACTCACTTTACTGACATAAAAAGTTTACAAACAATCTCTTGGGAGCTTCCTCAATTCCTCACACCAGTCTCCCCGAACCTGGTTCCTTCCAAAATTCACCTTCAAACGTGACCTTTCTAAACCTTTCCCTATTGCTCCACTAATACCTCGTTTCATACCTGTTTCCTAAATTCATTCTCCCCCCAGATCTGGTGTTTCCTAAGTCTCGCACTGAACTCAAAATCCTTTAAGTGTCATTACCCCTATTCACCAGTGAGAACAGCCCGGTGGCAAGCACCCGGAGTGGCCCACAGCCCAGGCCAAGCTTGACTAGAGCAGGAATGAATGGACTGGGTAAAGAGAGTTGGTTCCTTAGACCTCCCTCCCAGCCTCGCATCTGACACCCATGACGGTGACCAGAGGGGACAGAGATATTTTTTAACAAAAGCTCTTCAAATCTGCTTTTTTTTTTTTTGAGACAGTCTCTCTCTGTCGCCCAGGCTAGAGTGCAGTGGCGCGATCTTGACTCACTGCAACCTCAGCCTCCCAGGTTCAAACGATTCTCTTGACTCAGCCTCCCGGGTAGCTTCGATTACAGGCAGGTGCCACCAGCCAACTAATTTTTTGTATTTTGTAGAGACAGGATCTCGCCATGTTGGCCTGGCTGGTGTTAAACTCCTGAGCGCAGGCAATCCGCCTGCCTCGGCCTCCTAAAGTGCTGGGATTACAGCCATGAGCCACTGCACCCACCCTGTTTTTCTTTATTTTAAAATTGATTGGCTCTTAAACAATTTGACTTTCAAGTGTAGCCTCTGAATTGTTAATTAATATATTTATTCCTCTTGAAATTCTCGAAATAGATTTATCTGTTAAAAATGCCTGTTTCTGGTTTATCCATTTAAATGTAAGAGGCTTATCACATTCATTAGCTGTTTCAAAATCCACTTCCTGTTCTCGGGCTCTACACCACCCACTGACCCTTTCCCTCATTGCTTGAGTGTGACAAAGCGTGTCGTGTGAGTGGGCACTGTGCAGGTGTAGGTTTTCCGCCCGAGTATCTACGTGGCTTCCTTGGTAATCTAGAACTCCAGCGCGGTGGGCGGGAGCAAGTAGCGGCATCCGGAGGCCCAGAGGCAGCCCACTGTTCCCGACACCGACCTTAACTGCCAACCCTGTCTCTGGCGCATCCCCAGCGCAGCGGAACTGAAGCTCACCGAGCCTTCGTGCGCCATCGCCAACGCGGTCGCTGCAACGCTGGTGTTTCGGCTGCATCCGAGGCGCCTAACGGTCGCCTAGGAAACTACGCGCTCCGGGTCGCTCGCCCCGCCCACAGTTGCCCGGGAAACCGCGCCGCCCGCTGCTAGTTCCGGCCGCTCACTCCGCCCAAGGGCAGTGCGTACGTGCGTCGTCTCTATGGTGGCGGCGGATTTGGAGGGACCCTACGAACCAGCAGTCAGGCGAGCCGATCTGGGGCTGCGGGTATGACCTCTGACCTAGCCCGGGGGCCTTAGGGATCCGAGCCGAGAGAGAAACCCTTGGGGGTTTCATCACACTTATTTGGCTCGTGGGCTTGGGGGCCATCGGGTGGCTCTGTGTCATCACTATTCCTCCTCTGGGATTCCCCCGTCGCCCCCAAACAGCCCTGGGATGCCCCTGTCTTGCTCCTCGAGACCTTCCCCACGCCTTGTGGCCCTCCCCCATCACCATCCTTGGGGCACCCCATCCCAGGACCCAGTCTCTGGCGTCTTCTGAAATGCTCGCTGATAGCTGCCCTCCTGCATCCCCGCTGCGTCTGTTGGTTGCGCGCCTGGTGATTCGGGTACACCTTCCCACAGGATGTTTCGCTGGGAGCGCTCCATTCCCCTTCGAGGTTCGGCCGCCGCCCTGTGCAACAACCTCAGTGTGCTGCAGCTGCCGGCTCGCAACCTCACGCATTTTGGTGTGGTTCATGGACCAAGCGCCCAGCTTCTTAGCGCTGCTCCTGAGGGTGTACCTTTGGCCCAGCGCCAGCTCCACGCTAAGGAGGGTGCTGGAGTGAGCCCCCCACTTATCACTCAGGTGAGGCATGGAGTTGGGAGTGATGTTGCTGAACCCAGCCCTACCCCCTGCCCTTTCTCTCCAAACCTCCAGGAGCAGGCATGTCCTAACCTCAGAATCTCCACTCTTATGCTGGGCGTGGTAGCTCACGCCTGTAATGCCAGCACTTTGGGAGGCCGAGATGGGCGGATCACATGAGGTTAGGAGTTCGAGACCAGCCTGGCCAACACGGTGAACTTCTTTTCTACTAAAAATACAAACATTAGCCAAGTATGGTGGTGTGTGCCTGTAATCCCAGCTACCTTGGAGGCTGAGGCAGGAGAATAACTTGAACCCGGGAGGCTGAGGTTGCAGTTAGCCAAGATCATGCCACTGCACTCCAGCCTGGGCGACAGAGCAAGACTCCGTCTCAAAAAACAAAAGAAAAGAAAAGAAAGAAATCTGACTCCTCATCATCCCTGCTTTGATTTTCTCCCTACACTGATGCACCTCCCTCCAGGTCCACTGGTGTGTCCTCCCCTTCCGAGTACTGCTGGTACTCACCTCACATCGAGGAATACAGGTAAGGAGTTTCCTGCTTGCCCCACCAGAGCCTTCTCAGCTCCCCTGCCAGGCTTCCAGACTCTTTCCTACTTGCCTCTAAACATTTCCAAACTTTCCAATGCTTGGCCCACTCACTCTTTTTCTATTTCTTATCTTCAATCCTTCCATCTTTTCCATTTCCCAAGTGCCACCTCCAGTATCTGCCCCTTTACTAGTTGTATGCCCTTACAGTGTTTCCTCAGCCTCACTGTCGTCCTCTGAATACATGAGGATAAAAAATAGCACCTACATCCCAGGTTTGTTTTGAAGATCAAATGGGCTAAGGCTATCATGATATGTGAAGTACTCAGCACAGAACTCAGCAGACGTCAGTTGGGTTATGCCCCCTGGTTCTTGCCCCTGTCTTCCAGATGTACGAGTCTGATGGCTCCACCATGGTCTACTGGCATGCACTGGACTCTGGAGATGCCACCCCAGGTACCTGCAGAACCAAGTGGGGTGGGGGCAGGGAGTGTTTGCTAGGGCTGCGTGGGGATATTTCTGATCATTCTGCCCTTTCATATTCAGTACAGGCTGTGTTTGCCCGGGGAATTGCTGCCAGTGGCCACTTCATTTGTGTGGGTGAGGGAGCCAAGGGCAGGGCATGGAGGGGTGCTGGGGCATGTGGGCTGTGGCCAGGAGGGTCATGAGGGCCTGAGGAAATTGTGGAAAGTTAAAGGGGAGGGTAGAAGTGCAGTGGAATCAGAGACTCCAGTAAACCATGGAAGGGTTCAGAGGGTCAGGGTGATAGAATGAGGGTAGTGAATGAAGGGGCAGAGCTGTCGAAGCAGTGAGAGGGGATTTGTTACTAAGGTTTCTGGGATGGAGTGAGTGCTGAGTATGGTGGCTGAAGACCCAGGAGGGTCATGAAGTCATCACTGGGGCACTGGTTCTGGCTGCAGGAACATGGTCAGGCCGGGTGCTGGTGTTTGACATCCCAGCCAAGGGTCCGAACATTGTACTGAGTGAGGAGCTGGCTGGGCACCAGACACCAATCACAGACATTGCCACCGAGCCTGCCCAGGGACAGGTGAGTGGACTTCCCCTACCCACCTGGGAGCCTTCCCCACCCTGGGAGGCAGGGGACCTGGGTTTGAGTCTTGGCTTTGCCACTAAACAGGTGGATGGCTTTGGGCAAATCTGCACTTTCCTAGTCGTTAGCAACCAAGTTTGGTGATAAAGCCAGAGATACTTTATGTAGTATTTTATAGTTAACTAAGACTATAATACTGATGTGAAATGAGGAGTTGGAACAAATGGTTTCTAAGATACTTTCCAGTTCTGAAATGTGCAGCCTCCATCTCTGGGGCAAGTCCTACCTATTCAGGCCCAGTTCTAGTGCCATCTGTCCTCTCCAGGAAGCTTTCCCTATATTCTAGCTCCCACTGATCTCTCTTAGCTGAACCCTGAATTGGCACTGCCCTCAAAACACAACTCTTATCTCCCAATTAGTTTGCAAACCTTTTGAGAACAAGGTATATATTTTCTTATTCATATTCTCCATTGCACTGGCATAGGGCTAGGCCCACGGGCTATGTTGGCTGCCTAGTGTTGGGGTGCAGAGGCCCAAGGTCTAGTCATGACAGTGACTGGTTCACAAGACCTCCAGAAGGTCATGACATGGTGGCCTCAGTTTTATCCATCCAGTGAGGCAATTATGCACCCGCTCCTAACATGCTATTGGGGGATGGGACTCCATGAAGAAATCCAAGGAAAGCAGTTCATGCTTCCTGAGGGAACCCTCAGGAAGGGTTCTGGTAGGGGTGGTTTCTGATGGGTCTGGCTAGTGAGGGCTCCACATCTTGCCCTTTCCCTGATGCACATGCTGCCTCTCTTCCCCTCCTGTCCTGTATACGGGACCATAGCAGGGGAGAAAGGGAAGGGCTGATCTTGCCTTTCCCTTCAGGATTGTGTGGCTGACATGGTGACGGCAGATGATTCAGGCTTGCTGTGTGTCTGGCGATCAGGGCCAGAATTCACATTATTGACCCGCATTCCAGGATTTGGGTAGGTGAAGCAGAGATGTAGAGGACTTCCTGAGGTAGCTTCAGGATGGGGAGTAGGATTTGGTCGGGGCAAAACAAAGTTGGGTGTCACCCCTTGCAGAGTCCCGTGCCCCTCTGTGCAGCTGTGGCAGGGGATCATAGCAGCAGGCTATGGGAATGGACAAGTGCATCTGTATGAGGCTACTACAGGAAATCTACACGTCCAGATCAATGCCCATGCCCGGGCCATCTCTGCCCTGGACCTGGCTCCTGAGGCGGGCAAGGTCGGTTTCCTTCTCTGTCCCTACATACCCTTTTTCCTGGCAGTGGAATGTTGAGAGAACACTACAGGCTTGTCTTTGCAACTCAGTGTAGCCCCCTCCCTGGGGCACCTGGGCTGGGCATTCCAGATTATACCTGTCCCCTGTCAGGGCATTCTGACTCCCCCTCTTCCTCTTCTACAGCTACTCTCCGCAGCTGAGGACACCTTTGTGCATATCTGGAAGCTGAGCAGAAGCCCAGAGAGCAGCTACATTGAGGTATGTATCATGGGATGGGTGGAATGGGGGCCCAAGCATGGAGCAGCAGGCCCTAACCAGTCCTCTGCTCCCCCAGGTGGAACACTGTCATGGTGAGTGTGTTTCCGACACCCAGGTGTGTGGTGCTCGATTCTGTGATTCCTCAGGCAGCTCCTTTGCTGTGACTGGCTATGACCTCGCAGAGATCCGGAGATTCAGCAGTGTGTGAGAAGAGCAGCCTTCCTTTGTCATTGTGGTATTCATAAAGTACCCACTCCACCCAGCCCTTGTCTGATTACTCAGTATCACAGTCATATTTCACAGTTGGTGAACTGCGCTCCAGGGGTGAGGTGAGGCAGGTCTAGACCAGGCAGAGAGAGGCACCCTATCCTCAGGAGCCAGATGAAGGCTGCTGTTAAATAACTTTAATGGTTGATGTGGGAGTCACAAGGGCTCTTCAGTGCCATCCTCAAAGCTGGTTAGTGCAGGGAGGTAGGGCAGAGGTCGTTCCAGTTTTCTTCCAGGAAGAGTTTAGGGAGGTCCCAGCCAGCCCCAGGAATGAGTCCCTCGGTACCATGGGAACCACAATTTAGGAGGGGCTTCTGCCCACCCCTGCAGCCTACCCCAAGTCCAGCAGAGGAAGAGGAGGCCAGGCTGGCCAACTTGCTATAGACAGCACCGTATCCAGAGTCCAGTTGCGCAGGGGTCATTTTCTCTTCTGGGTAGATCCTATGCCAGCACCTTTCTCTCTCACACTGGTGACTGGAGCCAAGTGCGAGGTTGGCCTTTGCTGCAGAGGCCTCTGGTCCGTGGGGATCGCTGAGGTGGGAGGGGGGCAACCGAGCGAGCCCTAGGGGAGTGGTCTGGGGGAACAGCATCCAGGGAAAAGGTTCGGGGTCTCCCCCAGGGCAGAGGTTGGGTCCAGGCTGGGGCTGGGGCCACTGAGGCAGCCGAGCAGGGGTTAGGCAGGGCAGGCTGGTCTGTAAACATTGCCAGCCAGGGTGGGGGCGTCTCCAGCCTTGCGCCCTCCCGCTGGGTCAGGATGTCTGTCACCGCTGCGATGTCATCCAGCGGCTCAATAGCTGTGGCACCAGGAAGGGGTTGGGGTGGGGTGGGCTAGTCAGAGCTCAGGCCCCAAGTCTACCCAGCCCTATCACCTGTCACTGTAATAGGAGGAAAGCAAAGCCTGGATCTCAGCCGAGATTGCATTATCCTGCAGGAGCAGCCCCTCACCTGGGCTCCCTGGGGCTACAGGCTCTGATAAGACTGTGGGACACAGGACAAGGTAGATGGGAATGGGGGTGAGGGGTGGGAAGCAGAGGTGGGTGAAGAAACCAAGAAAGAGGAGAAAAATGAAAGCAGTGCCAGGCAAATGAAGGGTCAGAGGAAGAGACAGGAATCCACATGTAGAAAGGGAAACAGAAAAGAAGAAATTAGGAAAGATATCCACAAAATGATCCTGGCTCATTGGGGTTTTGTTTTGAACTTTGGTGGAGGTGGTTCTAAGAAGAGTTGGAGAGGAGAAAGGAACACACGGGACTGGGTGAGACTTGGGTCCCCGGAGATCTGGTGTAGCCCAGAGTGTGCTTTCTCTCTGTTTCCATTATCTAGTTTCTCTTGAAGTCCCCAACCCTACTTCCCAACAGCTTCCTGGAGTGCACATGCCTCTCACTTACCCATCTCATGGTACAAGGACCCCTGCTTGGCCAGTGCTTGGGGTGGTTTCCGGGGAGCAGGAGTTTCAATTTTCATGATTTCATCACAGCACTGCTTCCACTGGCCTGGAGGAAGAGCACTGATTAGAGAGGGCCAGGCCGCCCTTTCTCCTGCTACATTCCCTTCCACACAATCTTGAAACATAGGCCTTTGGTAAAAATGACAAACTCCAGTCCCTCCCAAAGGTTCAACCCAGCCCTCTTCTCTCTTACTCATGTCAAAGAAAAGCTGCCACAGAGCCTCCATCCAGCTCTGCAGGGCTTCCCGACTTTCTGTCTGAAGGGTATGTGTCACCTCGTCATCCCCATATTGGTTACTGATACTTAGGCTGAAGGGCCGTCCTGGAGCCTGGTCCAGCTCCCCTGCCCGGACTCGAGTTTCCTGCAGGAGAAAGAAGAGGTCTACTTTGGTCACAGAAGTCGGCAGTGACATCAGGCAGCCTTGATCACTCCTGCCTTAGAAGGATGAGCTTGGGGGCTTTTGCTGAGCCCTGTCATTTGCTTCCTACTGACCAGACTAGGAAGGAATGGCAAAAAAAGGGCTGGGGATAAGACAGCCAGTCCTGAGTCAGGGGAGGAGGAGCAGCTTGAGACACGGAAAAAGGAATTGAGCAAGGCAGGGAAGACACAGAGGTATGCAAGTATGCTCCAGCCAGAGGTCCCTCAGAACTGCCAAAAATAGGCAGGAAAGCCAATGAAAGGGATAGGGAGCAAAGAAGGGCAATTGGACTTGGAGGGAAACGAGAAGTGGTAAAATCAATACAAATTGGAATCTGAGGGAGAGAGGATGAAAAACCCTGAACTGGCAGGCAGGAGAACCCTCTCTGAGACTTGGCAGGGACTGAGGATGGCAAGTAAATGGGACGATCCTCACGCAGTGATTCCGTGGTGGGGGAGAAGGTGGGCCCCCGAAGCTGGATGTGGTGCTGTCAGGAGCAGGAGGCCTGCTTCTATCTCTGAGGTAAGTGCCCACCCTCCTGGGGCCTGAAGGAGAGGCTCCTGGGCCCATGCCCTTGGTGGCCTCACTACCAAGGGACCCATCACCTTGTTGATGGCAATAGTAAGCAGTGGCTCTTCCCCAGTGTTGGCATCCTCAGGTCGCCGGTAACAGAAGAGGTTTGTGCCTTTCAGAACTCCATGCACTCGTGCCCAGTTCTGCATCTCCCCAGCTTGCTGCACAAATGACTCAACATGTTCTGGGGGAGTCACACCCCCAGTATCCCTCTTCTTAGCTCCCCCGCCAATGAGAACCTATTTTTTTTTTGTCCACACTGCTGTCCATTCCTCCCCTCATCTGGCCAAACCCCACTTCTTCCACCCAAATCTTGACTTTTCATTAGCTCTTCTATTCCTGGTTGTCCAGCTCTCCTCTGCCTTCTCCCTGCTCCCTTCCACTCCTCAGGGCCCCCTCACCTGCACCCTGAGGGTACCACTTGCAGTGGGCTGAGTCATGCAGAGAGGCTGAGCTGCCAGGCGGCAACACACGCTACCATAAAGGGGCAGCCAGGCAGGGTTCTCCTCTAGGGGAGGAGGAAGTGCAGGGTGAGGCAGGGGAATGAGAAGGGGACTATCCCATAGACCCTCTTCTCACCACCACATGTGTGTGTCCCTCATGCACACACTACTTACCATGACTGGCAAGGGTGAGGTCATGTGTGCGGAATCCATCTTGCACTGCTGCCAGGGTGAGTGTGGTGTGAGCCAAGAGATGGTACCGAGGACCACTGAGGGAGATAGGAGAGAGCATCAGCTGGGGGAGGGGCGTGTTGGCCAGCAGGAACTCTAAGGGCTTCGCACATCTGCCCCATTGTTCAGGCTGCCCCACAGAAAACTCACTTGCCTCTCCAGAGAGTTAGGAATGAGCATTGATGGAGCTCCAGCTAAGTGTCAGGACCTATGCTTTATATATTTTATCCCACTGTATTCCTGCGACAGCCCTGTGAGGTTGGTGGCTTTCTTCAACTAGATGAGGCAACTTGAGGCTTAGAGAGGTTAAGAAACATGCCCATAATTTATAGTTGTAAGTGGTGGAGCTGGAGTCTGAAGCTATATCTGTGTCCAAAGTCAGTACTCTGTTCATTACCCAAAGGCTGTCAAACTGCTTCTTAGAGTCTCAGTGGTCCCATGAGGTATCTCCAGGTCCAGGTAGGTACCACCACAGGTCTCAGAGTACTCTGCTCCAACCAAGAAGCTCTGTTCTATCCACATAATATGTATTTGCTAGGCTGAGTGCTGTAGCTCACGCCTGTAATCCTACCACTTTGGGAGGCCAAGGTGGGAGGATCACTTGAGCCCAGAAGCTCAAGACCAACCTGGGCAACATAATGAGACCCCATCTCTAAAAATAAAAATAAAATGTATTTGCTGCTGCTAAAAAGTTAAGACCCCAGAGCCTAACTCTCCCTGCCTTCCTACTGGTCTTCTGGACTGGCTTCAGCCCAGCTCTGGAGCACTGGCTGGAATGCCTCCCAGCTATGTGGCCACTGCTCATTCCTGTCTGCCTGCACATCCTGGCAGCAATGCAAAATGGGTTCTGCACACTCAGCACCGTTCAAAGATCACCTGTGGGCAGAATATAGGCAGCTGAGGGCAGTGGGGGTGTGCAAGGCCTTACCCCACAGCTGGGGTGGGGAGCAAGATTGGACTGCTCCCTGAACCCCCAGCACTGTCCAGCGATGCCCGGACACGCCTCCCTGAGGAGCGGCCCAGGGAGCTGCTGAGTTTGGTGGCAAGCCTCTTGGGGGCGCCAGTCAGGGCCCCCTCTTCTTCCACACAGGCCCCATACAGCTCTAACCGCAGTTCAAAGTCTGGCCCCGCCTCAGTGCTGGTGGGAGGAGTAAAGGAGGGTTGTCATAGGAAAGTACAGGGACACAAAGGGTGGGGGATATGGGTGGGGCAAGTGCAAGACAGTTCTGCAGTGAAGGCCAGGTGCTTCTCCCCTCCCCACTACCCACTCCTCTTCCTCCCCTGGAACTCGCTCACCCAGAACTGGAGCAGAGTGGAGGAAGGAGGCAGCCACAGTTTGAGGTACTCACAAGAGGACATTGCTCTGAAAGGAGATGTCTGTGAGGGTCCTGTCCACCAGGATCATCTCTGTGTCCTGGATGTGTTCTCCTAGCTGCAGCAGCAGGAACACAGCCCAGCGGTGCAAGTCTGGGGACAAAGAGGGCAAAATTCATAAAAAAAAAAAAAAAAAAAAAAAAAAAAAAAGCACCACAAGAGCCTCCTACTTTTGTCCCAGGGTGTGTGGAACTCACCACCTTTGTTCTTGAAATATTCTGTGTCCTTCCACATGAGTGGAATCCGGAGGTCTAAGGGGCAGAGGGGTAGGAATAGATGTTGAGATGGGGCAGGAGGCTGTGTACTTGGGCAATGGGTGCCAGCAGCTGAGGTAGCTGTGCTTCTTACCAGAGATGCAGACACGGCCGCGGCAGGGGGAGCGGTCAGCGGGCGGGCCACTGTCAGAAGGCCTGTGGATAAATCACAATGTCCTGGCCTTGGCCTCTAGGCACTGTTCCCCCTTGCTCTGGTTCCCAAGGGCTCTAGGATCCCCCTGGTCCCAGGGCCTTACCCATGAGGTCCCTAGCCAGGCTGGCAGGGCCAAGGGGCTGTAAGGGAGAGTTGTCCATTGAACCCAGCAATTTGCCAGGTTTTCAGGACACTAGGGAAAGTCGAGCCACATTAATTCATACATAAGGCATAAGCTCAGGGCTCCTCTCTCCAAGCACCCTCCCTGACTACCTCCCCAAACCCCTGCCAAGGACAGGTGTGGCCTTCAGGGGACAGGTGCCCACAGAGAGACTTCATTTCAAGGGCTCTCCTTTAAACCCCTGGCTTGGAGGGGTTTCCAGGCTTTTTTTTTTTTTTTTTTAAACAATAGGAAGGCTGCTTATTTTCCACCATCCCATCACTTCTTTTATATAAGAGGGTACTGGGTTAGAAAATAATTTGGCCAATGTTTGTTGAAAGGAAAATCACCAATGGAGAACAGTTATGTTCCATTTACAACAGACTCTTCTTCCCTACCACTCCCCAACTTTGATTTCTCCTTTTTCCTCCTGGCCCCATATGCTGCACCCTACTAGTGCCCCAAGTTCTGCAGCCCCCCCCCACACCCCACTGCAGGGCCCAACACCCGCCTGCCTTCCCTCCCTGCCCATCATCAGGACTCACCACATGTGTCCCTTTCCTGAAATGACAGCCAGCTCATCTGTACTTATTCATAATGCCACTAAAGTAATTACTGACTAGTAGAGCCTTAAGCTAAATGATGTGTCACTAATGGCAATGTGTTTAGCTGCCAGGGACTTAGGGTGTACCTCAAGTCACCTGTGTGGGCTAAGGACTTAGGCAGAGCCTGTCCATGCTGCCTCTCAGGAGAGGCTGTCCTCCTGCCAGCATGCCCGTCCTCTAGCTTCATGGGACAGTCGTAGAATGTGGGTTTTCTGCCTCCTTCTGGTAGCTTCATGGGTGAGCTCCTGGCAACCTCCCCTTGTGTCAGCCTTCACGGCTGGAATGGGCACCATTCCTGTGAGGGGGTGGGACCATTTCTCCAAGCAGCCTCAGTGGAGTAAATAGGCCGCTTTCCTAAAAACCAGTTCTCCAAATGACTACTTTACCGAAATTGGCATATTCTTAGAATAATTTGCCAAATATTTTCCCCACTATTTTGGTTTTATCATGGCATCACTTCAATCAAGTCACTTTAGACTTGTCAGATCATCCGTCTAATGTCAGTATAGCTTACATTTTACATCCAGAAGCTGAGCCCTTTTAGAATGCGCAATCTAATTTGTTTGAATGGATGGGTAGGCTTTCCTTAAGAGGTTTCTTCTTATTTCCTTTCCCAATCCCTGCCTCTGGATGGTGAACTCCAGATATAACAAACTATTGTCCATATGTGGTAAACTGGCCATTTGGTGAACCAGCGTTGAGGGAATTCGTTTTCCAAAAGCCAGATAGCCAGTCTTACTGGATCACAGATAGGGCTTACCAAATTAGTGCTTTTGCATTACTTGCTACCCTTCAGATCGCCTACCTTTCACCAGACACACCAGCTTTCCTAAGTCCTGCCCTGGCTACTCACAAGTTGACCTCTGGGCAACTCACAGTGGTGGTAAAACACCAAGGTCTCTCCCAGGTCCCTGACAAGACTTTGTGGGGAAGTCATCTTTAGGGTGGTCCACACACCACACAGGCACATGCGGCACCACCACCACCCAGAAGGCCTCCTGCTTCCATCGAGGCCTCGCCTCCCCCTTGCTCACCGCCGTCCTGTCTTTCCCAGCACCTGCGCCTCCTTGCGCCGCTGCAGCTCGCCCATGTAGCTGAGGATACGGCTGTTGCACACCAGCAGGCTCTTGGTGGCCTCCAGAGCCTGCTCTCGCTGGGAGCAGGCTGCCAGCAGCTTACAGGCCCCTTCTCTCATCCGGATCTCGTGGTCTAGCTTCCTCTGCAACTCTGTGTCCTAGCCAGGGTTGGGGGAAGGGTGAGAAGGAAATGTCAGTCAGAGGACAGGCTAAAGCACTCCCCAGTCCCCAAGTGGGTTATGGCCAGTAAAACTGACAAGAAACTAATGTTTTAGGCAGTTCAAGAGCAAGCATTGGGTCTCAATCTCAGCTGCCCACGAATAACCAGAGAAGCTTTGTAGCCAGGTGCAGTGGTGTGTGAGGGAAGTTGAGGCAGGAGGATCCCTTGGAGTTCAAAGCCAGCCTGGGCAACATGTGAGACCCCACCTCTAAAAAAATATATGACAAATAAGAAACATGGAGATGTCCTCATGCATTTGATGGTTAGAAGTATAAATTTCTTCGGCGTCTTTTGAGTGCAATTTGGAAAAATCTATGAAAACTACAAATTCATATATCCTTTGATCCAGCTATCCAATACCTAGGAGTTTATTTTACACTTATAGTTTCACATATAACTAGGTCAAGCCATACATACAAAATATTCATTATGGCATTGTTTTAAACACCAAAATTAAAACCCCTTCAGTAGGACATTGGTTAAATAAGTAACAGCACATCTGTACCCTGTACTATTGCAGACATTAAAGAATGAGGTATGCATATATATGCAGATATGAAACAATCTCCAAAATAAATGATGTGAGAAAATAAAGTGGTATTACACATACTACCATTTGTGCATGATATATATGTGTGTATGCATATGTATATATATAGATAGATAGATAGATAGCTAGATAGATATGCATGTTTATGCATAAAATATTTGTGGTTGTGGACCTGGGAGCCAGGAATGGATAATATTTATGATACTTTTTTTTTTTTGAGACCGAATCTCACTCTGTTACCCAGGCTGGAGTGCAGTGGGGCAATCTCAGCTCACTGCAATTTCTGCCTCCCAGGTTCAAGTAATTCTCCTGCCTCAGCCTTCTGAGTAGCTGGGACTACAAGCGTGAGCAACCACACACGGCTAATTTTTGTATTTTTAGTAGAAACAGGGTTTTTTTTTTTTTTTTTTTTGAGACGGAGTTTCACTCTTGTTACCCAGGCTGGAGTGCAATGACGCGATCTCGGCTCATCGCAACCTCCGCCTCCTGGGTTCAGGCAATTCTCCTGCCTCAGCCTCCTGAGTAGCTGGGATTACAGGCACACGCCACCATGCCCAGCTAATGTTTTGTATTTTTAGTAGAGACGGGGTTTCACCATGTTGACCAGGATGGTCTCGATCTCTTGACCTTGCGATCCACCCGCCTCGGCCTCCCAAAGTGCTGGGATTACAGGCATGAGCCACCGCGCCCAGCCAACAGGGTTTTACCATGTTGGCCAGTCTGGCCTTGAACTTCTGAACTCAGGTGATCCACTTGCCTCGGCCTCCCAAAGTGCTGGGATTACAGGTGTGAGACACCACGCCCGGCCTGACTTTTGTATTCTTATAGATGGAGTTTCACCATGTTGGCCAGATGAATCTCGAACTCCTGGCCTCAAGTGATCTACCTGCCTTGGCCTCTGAAAGTGCTGGGATTACAGGCTTGAGCTACTGCTCCCAGCCTAATGATACTTTATACATACCCTCTGTACTACTGGAAATTATATTTCCTTTAAAAAACAATAGATCTTTGGAGTTTAAAAAAAAAATTGCCAGGCCCTACCTAAGATTTGCAGAGTAAGAGTCTCTAGGAGTGGGGCATATGTACTTTTGGAAAACTCCCCAAGTGATTCTGAGGTACAGCCAGGTTGAAAACCAGCAACTCATGGGAATGGACAGAAGGAAAGGTAAATGAGGGTTATCCCTTAGACTCAACATCTAGTTGGCAAGGGATCAGTGGAGAAGGAGCATACCACCTACCCACGGAGTTCACCGCAACTGCACAGAACTCCATATACCCCAGATTACGAGACCCACCACCTACTGGCCCTCTGAGCTTGGGAGTTGAGGTCAGAGGCAAGGAATGGGGATGGGAAAGTAGGTAGTTCAGGAGTGAGGGGCTTTGGATAAGGGCCAGCTGAGAGACACTGGGAGAGACACCAGGATTATCAGGAACATTCACTTAGAAAGGAGTCCTGGAGGTCCTGCTTTAAAAGTAATGGGCAATTTGCTCAACCTCCCTAAGCCTCAGTTTCCTCATCTGCAAAGCAGGAATGAAAACAGTCCCTACATCCTGGGGTTGTGAGAATTCTGTGAGGCAGGAACATAAAGCACTTAGCACAGTGCCCAGCACATGGCATACATGAATGGCAGGAATGTTTATTTTAATCATGCTATACTTTGGTGGCAGCAACATTTACTCAGTCAACACTGGAGCATCCCTGTGCTGTCCAAGGCTCTACATTTAAAATTCAGCTGGGAGGTGAGCAATGACAACTTTAATGGCTGCTCCATAAGTGCCATGTCATGGCACAACCATGCTCACAAGAAACAGACTTTGCTTCTGGCTGAGGTGATAAAGGAAAGCTTCAGACAGGAGTTGGAAGACTAACTCCATCACAGTATACAAATTGGTTCAAGAGACAAGTGGAGCCACCCATTTGAGAGGGGAACTAATGTAACTACCCCAAACCTGTCTTTTTCCTCACACCACTCCCCTCCACACCTTGTGCCCTTGTGTCTGTCCCCAGGGGCTCCAGCCTTCAAGTCTCTCAGACCTGAACACCCTAAATTCCCTCTTCTAAAAGCCTTGTCCTGCCTGCCTACAGATGCTTCCTTGCATATTTTCCAGGCCACTGTGCTAGGCCAGACTTTAACACCTTCCCCCATCACCATCCATCTGTTTTCCTTCTGAAATAAGCCAATCCTTTCCCAAAAACCCTCCACCAGGAAGCCCTTTCAGACTACATAGGTCCTCCCAGCCTAGTTTTGTCAACACCAGAGTTCCACGATGCTTGCCAACCCCCACCCCAGTCTGCACCCAGCTTCAGCCATAAACATCCCAAATGAGTGAGAGCCCGGCAGGAGGGGAACACAGAGGTGTCCTCAACCCCCATCTTGGCTAGTCTCGTCCCAGTCCCAGCACTCACGGATCCTTCCCTAGCCCTGTCCATTGCGAGAGGCGCGCAGAGGCGCAGGAGGTCAGTAGAGCTGCACTGGCCTGGAGAGCCGGTGGGGGCCTGAGAGCCGTGGGAAATCAGAGGAGCCAGGGCGCCAGCGTAGCCGCACCGCCTCCAGCCGCAGCGCTCAGGGCGCCGGTGACATCAGCTCCCAATTGCCGCGAGAGCAACTGAGGGGTACCGGGGTGCGGGAGGTCCCTCCGGGCAACCTGGCCTGGCGTGGCTCAAGGCGCTGCAACCACTGAGACTCGGTCAGCGCGAAGGGATCTCCGGGAGTGCACCCGCGCAGCCCTGGAAAAGTCTCTGGGCCATCGCGACGTGCTCCAGCCCCGGGAGGCCCCTCCGGCGTAGCGTTTGCCCTCCAATATGACCCCTTGCCTGAGAATATGGAGGGCGGGTAGTGTATAAATTGGGACTGGGGCCCTACGGAGGTTGCTGGGCCCAGCATGGATGAGCAGGACCACGAATCCAGACACCTCCTCTATTTCCCTAATGCTCTCCAGCCCCAAATCCACTCTCCCATGGCCCTAGGCCAGGAGTGCCCTAGGAAACTGGCTCCCACCCTTTCAGGGAGAGGATCTAGGGAATCCTGGCTCAGGATCTGGACCTTTGTGCTTCCAGCGTTTCCCCACAACAGGGATAGTTCCTTGTTGCCCCCTCCCCACCGAAACCACACCCTATCCCCAAGCGGGCAGCATTTCCCCCAGATTCTCCTGGGAAAGAGCCCAGAGCTGGGTGGCAGATGGACCTAGGTCAGATCCCAAGGGGCTAGAGGATGAGTCATGGGCCCCACACACATTAGGCCCCCTGTTGATAACCCTTCCACCCCTCCCAGTCTCTTCTGTCTCTGGCTTCCTGCTCTGCTTCTCACCACCTTCTGTCCCCTTCAGAATCTCCACCAGGGCTAAGTACAAATCCTGGCTTAGGGACTTGACAAGCGGTGAGAATTTAACCCCTGGAGCCTGAGTTTGTAAAATGGGGGGCATTCCACCTCCTTTGTAGCATTGTTTGAGAATTATATGGGAAAGTCTCAACTCTACGTGGACCTAGCACATATTTAAACCTCCCTTTACTTGTAGCCTAAGTCACTTCCTCCAGAAAGTCTTCTTGGATTTACTCTTCCATGACTATCTCTTTTGCCAGTCCCTGAAACATCAATGGGTCTCTCTTTTGAGGACCTGCTGAAGTTGGTTGAGAAAGAACACAGCACCCTTAGCCATGGCTAAAGGAGAGGGAACAAAGTGAAACTAAGCCCCTCCTCTGCCCCAGTACTTGGACAGGCCTCCCAGAGAGAAAAATTACATTTTTTGGAGGAGGGAAGGATGCAGAATTTAAACATTTACATACCTAGACCAGCTCTGTCCAATAAAACTTACTACGGTGTTGGAAATGATCAGTAGCTATCTAGCACTTGAAATGTGGCTACAGCAACTAAGGAACTAAATGTTTTGTTTTAATTAACTAAAAGTAAGATTTAAATGGCCATACGTAACTAGTAATGTGGACAGTGCAGAGGACTATGAATGGTAAATAGGTTTTATCTCATGCACTGATGGAGGATAATTAGGTAGGGTCCCAATGAGTTCACTGGACACCTTTCTACAAATTAGAAAGAGGTGACCCTCTCCAGGCAAACAAATTAGATAAAGGTGCTCCCGCCTGATGCCGCTGAAACCGGACCAGGACTCCCACCTCTGGCTGGCATCTGTGTGAAGAACACAACCTGCACAGTTTATGCCAAGATGGTGCTGAGAAAGATTCTGAGGCCAGGTCTGGGCTCATTGATAAAGAGTGCCAAAACTGACCAGTAACATCTACTATGATCCAGGGAGTTGGGGCAGGACAGCATATACAATACCCCGCCATTCCTGATCTAGACTCTGCAGTCCTGCCTCTGACCTCTCTTAGCAGCAGCCCCTGCCTGGTCCAGGCAGTCACTTCCACAACTTCCTCCATCTTCCCCATGTCAGTAAACAGCCACACTACCAACTGCTTAGCCACATACCTGGGAATCATCCTGGAGTTCTCTTGCCTTGCCTTACCCCTCCCATCCAATCCATCAGCAAATCCTGTCAGACCTACCACTACCATTTGAAATCCACTCCCTTTCTCCACCATTTGCACTTTAATTCACACCACCAGGTTCACTCCCCTATGACTGTAACAGCCTCCCACCTGGTGGACTTTTGTGACCTCTCTTGCCAACCCTCCTCCCCCAACCCTACCCTCAACTTCCCATTAGGCACGAGTCATTCCCTTGCTTAAAACCCTTCTATGACCCAACATCACACTTAAGGTGAAATCCAGGCACCTTATCATGGCCTTCAAGGCCCTGCATGATCTGGCCCCTGCCCATCAGCTCTACCCCAGCTACTAAACTCCAGCCACACTGGCTCTCTCTTTCCCACAAATATATTATCCTCATCCTCATCTCAGGCCCTTTGTCCTTCCTCTAATCTTCACACATCTCCAAATCCCTTGGGCTCAGCTCAAAGATCTCCCCACAGAGGCCTCCCCTGACTCCACATCTAATGTTGCTTCTCCCATCTGATTTTCATCACATCCCCGTTTTCATAATTTCCTTATGTGATTATTTATGTTTGAATGTATATTTCTGTTCTCCCACTAAAATGGAACTTATTTGTCTTGTTCACTGAGGTATCCTATGGTCTAGAAAGGAACTTGGCACATAGTACATGTTCAATAAATGTGTTTAAGAATAAATAGGGCAAGGCACAGTGGCTCACACCTATAATCTCAACATTCTGGGAGATCGAGGTGGGGAGATCACTTGAGCCTATGAGTTTAGGACCAGCCTGGGCAATATAGTGAAACTTTGCCTCTATAAAGAATTGAAAAAAAACAAATACATTAATAAACAGCACCTTGCTGTCTCAAGGGCCAGCAGAATCCTTACTCAAAGCCCAGTCTTTTTCTTCTCTTGTAAGGCTACATCCTTTCTGCAAACCTCTCTCACACTGAACTCTTCTCTTCTTCCCATACCTAAAAGGAATCCTTGTCCCCAGAACAGACATCCACACTCACCCACAGAGCTTCCTGAAAACCCTGCTGCCAAACAAGACTCTGATGGGCAGAACTGAGCCTGGGTCCACGCACTGCACCCAACACAAGGCATTAGGGAACCACCTGTCCCTCTCCCACTTTAAGCAGGCCTGGCTCTCCCCACCATGCTGTAGCAGGAATGAGCAGGGCCAAGATTGGGGCTGGGATGCAAGTGAAGGAGGTGTGTACTCCAAGGGTCGGGGGATTACCTCCAGGCTGAGTGCCATCTGCCGAATGTAGAGCATATTCAGGTCCTCCAGGATGTGCAATCTGTCCTGCATCTCTGTGCCCCCTGGTGCCCTTTCCCTTGTCGACCCCTCCAGAGAGGAGACAGACAAGTACCACACTGTCCCACAGTTCCTCCTCTCACTGTTCCCTCAGTCTTGAAAGAGGTGGACAGCTCTTGGGCAGAGGGCAGAGGCTGCCCTTATCCCTCTACACTCCTGTTAGACCCCTCTGGATGCTGTGACAAATTTTCCTTGCCTACTGCTGCTCCGGGGCCCTGCTGGGAGCCAGGCAGGGGAGAAAAGGAAAGCAAAGTGAGGATGAGTGGGGTCCCAGGAGGAAAGGCCAGCTGCAGAGGGGGCTCTGGGCACAGAGTGTCCAGTCTTGCTTTGGTGGCAGCTGTTCTCCCAGCTGTGGAAGAAAAAGGCCCTTTCATTCCGACTCTGGCCACTCCCCAGCCCCCGCCCACATCCCTGGCCTGGTGGACAGAGAATCTGTGTGCGGAGAGGGCAGTGAGGGGCAGGCACAACTGGAAGGGGGCAGGGAAACTATGCCTCATGCAGGTTCTACAGAGTCATGGGGTTTACATGAGGTTGGAGCTTTCTGAGAGGGGTTCGGGCTTAGTTTGAGAAAGTTAGGCAAAAGAGCCGCAGAGGTGAGGACCTCAGGGGAGAGTGAGTCCAGGGAGTGGAACAAACGGGTGAGTTGGTAACGCAGCCCAGCCCCAGGGCCACCCCTTTCAACTCAGGGCCCCCATCCAGCCCACTCCACCCTGGGCTCACAATTACCTCGCTTTTCCAGAGAAGGGAGGAGAGGGAGGGAGAAAGGCAGGGGTGTGCCTGTCTGCTGCTGTCCCCGCTCCCTTCTGCAGGCCCCTTCCCTTCCAGACAGGAAACCAGCCCCGATTCCCAGCCAGCTGCAGCCTAGCGCCCCCGCCTCCACACCAGGCCCACGGAGTCACACTCCACTTGGCAGACGCAGGGCCCTGCGGCTCCGCCCCAGCTCCTTGGCCCTGGCCCCGAAGGCCGGGCTAATCCCGAGGGGCGGCCCCATTTCACAGGCCCCTCCCCCTGGACCCGGGCCTCGCCCCTTACTCCCCCACACTAGCCCCAAGCAGGTTCCTCGAGCCCAGTCGCTTGGGGAAAAGGGGACCCAAAGTAGGCCCCCTCTCTCCCAGGTCCATTAGCTTCTGAGTCAGAGAAGGCCCGGGATACCGGGACAAGGGTGTGAAAGAGCCTTTGTTCTGGGCAGGCTGGAGGGAAAGGGCAGAAGCCGGGCCTGGAATCCCAGCTGGGAGGGCGAGGGGGCGGGAGGAAGGCCCACCTCACTTAACCCTTTCCAGGCCCGGAAGGGAAGGCTTGGAACTGGGCTCTCCTTGGGCAAGTGTGAGTCTGACCTTGGGGACAGAAGAGTCTTTGGGGTTGCTACCCGTCTTCTCAGTCCCAGCTCAGCCACACACGTTCACCCCCACCCTAACCTCTAGGGAGTTACAGGTGGGGCTCCAACGGGGCTACCCGCGGAAGGCGGACGGGGTGGGGCGGGGGACGCTCAGCCTAGGGGCTGGACTCCTCAGGCCCCAGGAAAGGAGGCGGAAATTTTGCGTGTGAGAAGTAACCCCAAAGAGTTAAAAGCTCTGCAGGGGCACAGAGGAGCCTTGGAATAGGGCTTCGGGGAAGCGAGCGGCCCCGGCCTAGAAGTCGGGATTGATAACAGGCTGGCCCAGGTGGCTGCGACAGGTTGAGGGATGGGGCTGGCAGCAGGGGAACGAGCAGGAGGCCAGGCCAAGAGTCCCAGCGTTTGCGGCCCGCCTAGCTGCGCACCGCCCTTGGCCCGGGAATGCCCAGGACATTTTGGGGTCCAGGCACATTTTGGGAGTCGAGCTGGGGCCCTCCAAATTGAAACCAACCCGGGGTTTTTCCAGGCACAGGCAAATCATGCCAGCCAGGCCTGGGAATGTCTAGGGCAGCACTGATCTGATCAAAATGCAGACCGTCCACACCTTACTTTTTAAGTCAACAACTCCGTCAGGTTTGTACCCAGACCGTGGCGTCTCCATCCCTCAGCGTGCGCGCGGACGAAGGCAGGAGGCCGAGGCGGCCGGGGCTGCCCCCGGGAGCCGCGGAAGGGGCAGGCAGGGACGCGGGTCTCTCACCTCCGGCGGGTCGCTGAAGAGGCTGAGTCGGAAGCGGCCGCGTTTGAACTCCATCTCCAGGGCGGAGCCCCTGGCCACCGTGACCCGGCTCCGGTGGTTACGGGAGAACATGCTGGCGGCCTTGCGACTTCGCCTGCGCCCTGCGCCTCTCTGCACCGCCCGGCTTCGCCTGCTCTCCTCGGCTTCAGTCTCTCGACGCCCGCCAGCCAGTCCCGCCGGGGATCTCCCGCTGCAGGGCTCCAAACCCCGCCCCCGGAGACGACACCTGGGCCGGGCAGGGCGCGGCAACCTCCTCTTCCACCCCCGCCAAAAGCCCAGCCCGTCCGGCCAGTCCCAGCGCGCCAAGCCGATCTGGCCCGACGGTCCCGGAGCCAGGAGCACCCTGCACCTCGCGAGCACTGCGGGGGCGCATTCTCTCTGCCCGCGCGGGTCGCGAGCGCTCACCTGGGCGTGGGGCGGACCCTGAGAAGCCCCGCCCTGCCAGCCGTACCCACCTGGCAAGCCCGGCTTCCTTGGCGCGGAACCCCCGGTGGCTCAGGGATCGTCGCGTGGTACGTTCCGGCTCTATCTGGGCCCTGGGAACTTGACCAGTCTAAACCCCGGCAGCCTGCAAAGAGACCATTTCAACTTTCCACAGTCCCAAATGTTCCTTCTTCGTCTCCTCTCTGTGGCTATCCGCCCAAACCTAGCAGCCACACTGATGGGACAGTGCTTAAACACGTCGTGAAACCCCAGCTCTGTCACTGACTAATCGTGCAGTCACTGACATGGTCCAGTCACTGACCTTTTTGTGCTTCAGTTTTCTCATCTGTTCAGTGGGAATACTGTAACTTTCCCCACTCAAGTTGCTATGAGGATTATCTACAAGTATGAGCGTAAAATGCCCAGCATAATGTTTGGCACAAGGCAAGGGCCCCATATTTGGAGCCATAAAGATAAAGAGCAATGGCTGGGCAGAGTGGCTCAAGCCTGTAATCCTAGCACTTTGGGAGGCCAAGATGGACTGATGATTGAGCTCAGGGATTGGAGAACAGCCTGGGCAACAGGGCGAAACCCTGTCTCTACAAAACACATATACATACATACACACACGCACACACACGCTAGTCTGGCGTGGTGGTGCACACCTGTAGTCCCAGCTACTCAGGAGGCTAAGGTGGGCGCATCGCTTGAGCCCAAATGCTCAAGTCCAGCCTGGGCAACATAGTGGGACCCCATCTTTTAAAAAGCATTACAAACCAGTCACGGTAGTCCCAGCTACTCGGAAGGCTGAGGTGGGAGGATCGCTTGAGCCCAGGAGTTCTGGGCTGTAATGTGCTATGTCGATCAGGTGTCCACACTAAGTTCGGCATCAATATGGTGACTTCCTGGGAGCGGGGGACCACCAGGTTGCCTAAGGAGGGGTGATCCGGCCCAGGTCAGAAACAGAGCAGGTTAAAACTCCAGTGCTGATCAGTAGAGGGATCATGCCTGTGGATAGCCACTGCACTTCAACCTAAGCAACATAGGGAGAAGCCGTCTCTAAAAAAAAAAAAAAGGGCCGGGCGCCATGGCTCACGCGTGTAATCCCAGCACTTTGGGAGGCCGAGGCGGGTGGATCACGAGGTCAAGAGATCAAGACCATCCTGGTCAACATGGTGAAACCCCGTCTCTACTAAAAATACAAAAAATCAGCTGGGCATGGTGGCACGTGCCTGTAATCCCAGCTACTCAGGAGGCTGAGGCAGGAGAATTGCCTGAACCCAGGAGGCGGAGGCTGCGGTGAGCCGAGATCGCGCCATTGTACTCCAGCCTGGGTAATGAGAGCGAAACTCCGTCTCAAAAAAAAAAAAAAAAAAGCATTACAAATATGTAATATATCAGCTGCTTTGCTGGATGGTTGGACTTACCACTCCCTCCTTTCACAGAAACAGAGTCCCCTTCTTGCCCCCGGTAAAGCCCAGTGGGAGAGAAAGAAATGGCAAAGGATTAGCTTGCTGACCACACATGAAGGAATCTCCTGAAGGCTTCAGAATTTACAGAGAAGAACTTGAGAAAGGGTGAGGCTCCTACATAGCAGGCAGGCTGGACCCAGAGGCATACAGTCTTGAGCTCTTAGAAAGTCCAGATTAAAAGTGTCCTGCTATGGTAAATCATTCAACATTCTTTTGGAAAAGCTGACTGAAAATTACTAAAGCAAAAGGAGAAATGTATTGGCTCATGGAACTGAGCCAATACATACAAATGAGCCAGGGGGCAGACTTTAGATGTGGCTTGAACCACTCACTGAGTGGCAGGAAGATCCAGTCTCTTCCCATCACTTGGCTCTACTTTCCTCCATGATGGCTTCACACTCCACAGTGTAATGAAATTGCTGCCCAAAATTCTGGGTCTACACCTTTTCAGGCTTAAATTCAGCTGAAAAGAGAGCATCTGTTTCCCAAGCCTCCTACACATGTCTGGGATTCACTGTGAGGCATTTGGGATCATTCATCTAACCCAAACCAATAATGGGAGTCAGAGGGTGGCCAGACCTGAACCAATTGCTGTGGCTAAGGGGGTTCTAGGTGCCAGCTGGCCGGGCCTGGGGTCACTTGCCCACTCCTGGAGACTAAGCAGAACCCAGTAAACTGTGAGGGAGAAACCAGGGAAGGGCTGTTCCCCCAAAGAATGTGCCAAGTACTACCACCAGAAGGTGAGAGAATGGAAAATGAAAAGGAAAAACAACCAACATCCTCTACACACAAAATTTTATATGGAAAAAGGAGTTCTTCTGGTCAGTAGGAGAGGCAGATGAAGAAATTTATAAAGTTCACGGCATCTGAGATTAACCACAAAAGATGTGTGAGGGGAAAGAAAGGGAAAGATATTGTTCCTTAATTTCTTCAAATGTTCATCATCACTCCTCTGAACTTAAGCCTTCTAGGGAGGGACAGTCTGTCTTGTTCCCAGTGCCTGGCACATAGCAAGTGATCAATAAACATCAGTTGAAGTAAATAAACAAAGGAGAAAAATGCAGATTTGAGAGTCCTTGATTGAGATGTGCCATCCTGTTGGACTAAGACAGCTCATTTCAAATGTTTGTTTTTAAGCAACAGACCCCCTTTTTTAATGAAATCCTACCTGAAATGTGTGAAATCAAATCAGAGCTGCTATGATGGGAGTGGTGCTGGAGCCTCATGTCGTGTCCTCCCACAGGTGCTCAGCCGCCCCCCTGTCCCCCACTGAAAACAAGCTCTGTGGAATGGTTTGAAAACCCCTGGCCTGAGACCCAGGAAGGAGGCAGAGGAATGGAGAATGTTAGAAAAGGAGGTTGAGCTCAAATCCTGCCTGAGAGTTTGTACTCAATGTGGCTGAAGATTTTTGGGAAGGAGTGACATGATCAGAGTTTATATGATATTATATTGTATTTATTTTGAGACAGGACCTCACTCTGTTACCCAGCTGGAGCAAAATTTTGCCATGATAATGCACTGCAGCCTCGAACTCCTGGGCTCAAGCAATCCTCCTGTCTCAGCCTCCTGAGTAGCTAGGACTACTGGCGTGCACTGCCATGCAAGGCTAATTTTCAATTTTTTTTTTTTTGTAGAGACAGTGTTGTACAGGCTGGCTTTGAACTCCTGGCCTTAAGCAATCCTCTTGCCTCAGCCTCCCAAAGTTCTGGGATTACAGGCATGACAAGATTGTTCCTCAGCCCGGAGTTAATTTTAGACATCATAATTTGGCAACCTTTTCCGTAAATCAGTTGGAGGAGTTGTGACTGAAGTCAGGGAAGCCAGCTAACACGGCACTCAACTGAGGGAGGAGAGATAAGGACCAAAATTTCTATGGATTTATTTTTTTTTTAATTTATTTTTTTTTAATTTTTTTTTTTTTGAGACGGAGTTTCACTCATGTTACCCAGGCTAGAGTGCAATGGCGCGATCTCGGCTCACCGCAACCTCCGCCTCCTGGGTTCAGGCAATTCTCCTGCCTCAGCCTCCTGAGTAGCTGGGATTACAGGCACGCACCACCATGCCCAGCTAATTTTTTGTATTTTTAGTAGAGACGGGGTTTCACCATGTTGACCAGGATGGTCTCGATCTCTCGACCTCGTGATCCACCCGCCTCGGCCTCCCAAAGTGCTGGGATTACAGGCTTGAAGCCACCGCGCCCGGCATGGATTTATTTTTTTAATTAAATTTTCATTTGAAAAATATTTGAAAATGTATGTACAGTTTTTTAAACACTATAAATGCAACTGTTTTTTAAATAATTTAATTTAATGTAAAGTGAAAAAAATAAATAAAAGCATGCCTTCCTCACCCTCAATTCCACCTCCAGAAGAAAACACTGAGACAGTTTGGTGCATTCAAGTGCCGAAGCTCACACCAGCTCATGAGAGACAATTGCTGACTTTTCTGGAATTGGCCATGCCGGTTGCTAAACATTGCTGTAATTAAAAACTAGGCTGGTCTGAAGGTGGTGAGTTATCCCAATTGATTGTTCACAGTCAGTTACAGATTGAACTCCTTGTTTTACTGTTTCCTCCCTTCTCACTACTGCACTTGACTAGTCTCAATAAATTAAAAAAAAAATTTTTTTAATGAAATTACGGCCGAGTGTGGTGGGTTACACCTGTAATCCCAGCACTTTGAGAGGTCGAGGTGAGTGGATCACCTGAGGTCAGGAGTTCAAGACCAGCCTGGCCAACATGGTAAAACCCTGTCTCTACTAAAAATACAAAAATTAGCCAGGTGTGGTGGCGAGTGCCTGTAGTCCCAGCTACTTGGGAGGCTGAGGCAGGAGAATCACTTACCTGGGAGGCGGAGGTCACCGTGAGCCAAGATTGTGCCACTACACTCCAGCCTGGGGGATGAGAGAAACTCCATCTCAAAGAAAAAAAAAAATTAAATTACATAAACATATAACTAAATAAATTTTATTAAAGCAAAGGTGATAAATATTCAAAACTCGTCACTTCCTAATTATTTTCCTGCATTCTACTATGACGTCTTGAAGTTGTTTGTATCTGTAGTGTCTGTATGGAGGGAATGCTATACAAATGACATGCCAATGCACATCTCTTTCTAACTTTGTATTCAGTGATGTTTCATTTGAAATTGGCCATGGTGGGAGTACTTACATAACAGAAATAGGTGAACATGACAAATCGGCCTGTTTTTTTTTTTCCCCCAGGGGAGTTTTGGTTAAACATTTACCAACATGCCACTGCTTTGGTGCACAGTCTCCCGACTTTTTCCTTTTGTTTATGTTGTATTTATATCTCCCCAGCTATGAAGTAGATATGTGAGAAAGCGGCTGTGGGTCACCTGGCCCACATATCTACTTCAGATCATCTTCTATTTCTGCCCAATTCCCCACTGTGAGCAGTATTGATAGAATAAGCTCTAGCCCCTTTATGGCAGTTGGAGAGCATATATCCTTCTTCCCACTTTTTCACAGCCTAAAGGTAGGCGCTTGGCCTAACCCAACTACTGTAACTGGAATGTTTCCAACAGGACTTTGAACATTGAGGAAGTGCAGACAAGACCCAGCCAGAGTTCATGATATACACTCACTGCACCTATAGCACCTAAGTGGATAGTGGTGCCAGCAGAAAATCCTCATCAGAAATTTCAAGTGGCCTGACTTCAGTGTGGCCTTGGCATAACCTTAGCCATAGGTTCCTGCTGCCTGGCCTCCTTTGAATCTTACTCTTTATCCAGTGAAAGT